AGCAGCCTGTGCTTGCAAACCGCACGAACCGCCTGCGTAAAAGAGTCAGAGTTTGCCCTGGCAGGACAGCCCAGAAAGCGGCATTTTTATTTTTATTTATTTATTTTTTTTCTTTTTTTTTTTTTATTGAGAAAAGGAGAAAAAAAACAAGTTTCCACCTCCTCCCAGCCTCCCATTTCCCTCCCCCTCCTCCCACCCTATGCCCCCTCCTCCCACCCTTCTCCCCCTCCCCCCACTCCTTTCCCCCTCCCTCTCCAGTCCAAAGAGCAGTCAGAGTTTACTGCCCAGTGGAAAGTCCTAGGACCTCCCCCCTCCGTCCATATCTAGGAAGGTGAACATTTAAACTGGCTAGGCTCCCACAAAGCCATCACATTACGTAGGATCAAAACCCCGTGCCATTGTCCTTTGCATCTCATCAGCCCTCATTTTTCGCCATGTTCAGAGAGTCCAGTTTTATCCCATGCTTTTTCAGTCACAGTCCAGCTGGTCTAGGTGAGCTCCTAATAGATCAGCTCCACTGTCTCAGTGGGTGGGTGCATCCCTCGTGGTCCCGACTTCTTTGCTCATGTTCTCCCTCCTTCTGCTCCTCATTGGGACCTTGGGAGCTCAGTCCAGTGCTCCAGTGTGGGTCTCTGTCTCTATCTCCATCCATCACCAGATGAAGGTTCTATGATGATATGCAAGATATTCGTCAGTATTGCTCTAGGATAGGGTCATTTCAGGTTCCCTATCCTCAACTGCCCAAGGAACTAACTGGGGACCTCGGCTTGGGCACCTGGGGGCCCCTATAGAGTCAGGTCTCTTGCCAACCCTAAAGTGGCTCCTTTAACTAAGAATTGTGGTTCCGTGCTCCCCTGTCCAACCTTCCTTTATCCCAATCCTCCTGTTTTCCCAAGGCCCGACCTCCTTCCCTTCTAACTTTTCTCTCCCCATCTCCCCTTACCCCCATCCCACCCCACCCCCAAGATCCCAATTTTTTCCCCGGCAATTTTGTCTACTTCCCTTAGCCAAGAGGATAACTATATGTTTTTCCTTGGGTTCCCCTTCTTACTTAGCTTCTTTAGATTCACCTATTGTAGACTCCGTGACCCTTATTTATGGCTAGAAACCAATTATGAGTGAGTATATCCCATGTTCATCTTTTTGGGTCTGGGATACCTCACTCAGGATAGTGTTTTCTATTTCCATCCATTTGCATGCAAAATTAGAGAAGTCATTGTTTTTTACCGCAGCGTAGTACTCTAATGTGTAGATATTCCATACTTTCTTCATCCATTCTTCCATTGAAGGGCATCTAGGTTGTTTCCAGGTTCTGGCTATTACAAATAATACTGCTATGAACATAGTTGAACAAATGCTTTTGTCATATGATAGGGCATCTCTTGGGTATATTCCCAAGAGTGGTATTGCTGGGTCCAGGGGTAGGTTGATCCCGAATTTCCTGAGAAACCGAAACACTGACTTCCATAGTGGTTGCACAAGATTGCATTCCCCGCATTTTTAAATGGCGCAGCTTTTTTTCTGGTACGGCTGAAAACTGAAAAGCATGCGTTCAGCTTTTCGTCAACACCATTTAAGTGTTTCGTGGCAGGACCTCTTAAGAGCTGCAGGGTTTTGCAGCTGAAGCTGAGTCAGGAAGCCTCTCTTAGATGAGGCGCTTGCTTGCCTCTAGCAAGCAGAGCAGACCCGAGAACACAGCGAGTCTAGTTGCCATCAAACAAATCGTAGCACTTTACTCCAAATGCTCTATTCAAAAGCTCTGTCTCCCTCAGGAGCCAGAAAGAGATCGCAATGGCGGCACAGCCCCAGGAAGTCGCACTTTAAAATGACACAGCGTTTTTTCTGCTACTGTTGCCGAATCAGGAAATCTCTCTACAGCATGCCACCAACGAACAGCAAAAATCTGTGTTAAACTCTCTCTCCCTTATTTGTAAGCCTTCTCAGGTTTTTTAAGTGGGTTTAGTCCATCACATCGGGCGCCAATCTGTAACGGCGTAAACAAATGCAGACAGATTGTAAAAAAATATATATCTATAGCTTTAATGTAGAAATAGACTTACAGAAGCACCGTTCCCGTGGAGACCAGGAAAGCAGAAGTGATGGCTGGGAGCATGCTCGCCAAATTTATAGGCAGACATTAGCCCGAGGCGAACACGCCCCCCAAGGGGCGGACCTATCCCTACATATAGAGGAAACATAGAAATATCTGGAAGAAGGAAAAATAAAATCAATGCAGAAAATGATTAAACAAAACACAAATTTCATTTTCCTCTTAATATCTCTCAGTTCTGTGTGATGTTTTAAGCAGGAAGCATAGTGATGTGATGTGGTCCTCTATAGACATAGAGTAAATGTATTGTAGATTTTGTTCTTACAAGGGGTGATTGTGAAGGAGCTATAATTACAATAATATCAAATAGGGTTAGACTCGCAGGCAATCACAATGTTTGAGTTCCACTCTCTAGCTCTTATCAGGGAGATCTTGGATAGCTGCTGTAACATACTTACTCCAAAGTGCTTTGGTCTTTCTATCCAGCTGAGATGAGAAGGCATTTATGCACACAGGATCATGTTTAACCTCAGGATTGCTAATGAACAGAAGATGAGGTATTGTTATTATATTGAATGGATAAGGATGGGGGAAGGGATCTAACTCACCCTTTTGTCCCAATGTTCTGTCCGGTCTGGCAGACATCACAGCACACTGGGTTCTTCCATACAAACTCCTGCTTCTGGGTTGCAGATATTTCCCTTTATGTTTACACTAGAAGGTAGCAGAAGGGAAAAGAAAACTCATGAAATAGAGGAAACCAGGATGAGGAAGCACATAAATCCCAGGGGATGGAATGATGGTGCCTTGTCTGTGCAGACGACATCAATGGAAGGTACACAATGATGTTTTTCCTCCTCCCAGGTCATCTCACCACCCTGGGCATATACAGTGATAACTGTGACTGCAGACACATACTGGGAATGTGAGCTTGTGCATTTCCCATTCCCATGGCAAGAACTCCCCTTCTCTGTGTGCACTCAGGCCCCTACTTTCATGCCACAGCCTTCCATGGGCAGCACAAAGGGGGCAAGGGAAATCGGCCAACCACAAAAATACACAGGTTTTGTTTCCTCTCCATTCAGGCCCTGAAAATGATTCTTTGAGGTAGGCATCATTACTTCCTTTCCATACAGGGGCTCAGAGAGTACAATGCGTAGACCCAGGAAATTCTCCAGAGGCACCAGATGAACACAGATGCCATCTTAAAAGGATTCCTCTAGCCATACTGGGACAAAGGGAGCATGGAAATAGAGAACAGCAATAGAGGAAAACAGTTTGGGAAAATGGGTGTTGAGCCATACTGATATAAGTCAGCACATGAGTAAAGAAATATGGAGATAAGTAAGCAGTATACTACACACCAGGTCATCATTGAAGAGGACCAGGAGAATTATAACACATAGCCTATCACAGCAGTAAGTGATTAACTAACTTTCACACATATATATCCAGGGACATATTTGCACAAGCATGAGTATATACACAACACACACTAACAAATGTCAATGTAAACACACAGCTCTCACCTCGAAGGAAGAAGAGAGTTCATTCTGGAGTCAAATATATGTGAGTAAACATGAGTGAGACAGGTTTATGTTAGTACAAATTGCAAGTTACAATGTGGAAACAGTTTCATGAAGTTTTTATAATCACAGAATGAAGAAACTATAGTCTCTCCTTAAGTACATGGGTGATAATATTAAGTAGACTGTTATGGTAAAGCAGAGAAACCTCAGCTACAGGCACTAGCTGCTATGTGATGAAAAGCAGTCCTTTGACTGGTAGAAACTTAAAGCTTTGATAAGGAGACATATTCTGATATTTTAAATGTCAGGTCCAACGTCATCTGTTAGTGACAAGGTGTTAAGTAAGTCCAACACAGGGGGCCCAAGGAGTGGCTACTCATGGGCTCAAGAGAACACAAAGGAAATTGTAATTAGGCCCTGGGACTGCGACTTCCACCATCTCCATATCACTGCAGGTCTAAGAGTCAATCAACCAGGCTTTGCAGACCAGCCTCTGCCAAGGAATTCTTGTACACACACACACACACACACACACACACACACACACACACACACACGACACCTCTCATTCTCACTCTCCTAGCTCCCTGGTGTTTACTGAGAGCTCAAGGGGTACAACCACGTTAAAACAGATTCATCTCTGACCACACACAGGATAGTGAGAGCTACAAAATTATGTATGTCTTTTGCGTGTGATATCTGTGACGATGGCCATGGACTTGTCTCTGGGACATTTCTCTCATTTGTTTCTGACTGTCAATAATAACCTGTAAATGCTGATAAGGAAAGGGGGAGAAACTGCATTACACATCAAATGAAGTTCCCATCACGGAATAATCCATGCTTTCAACAAAAAAGATTATATCAGACTTAAGAGTTCCATATGTCTTCCCAGGGCATATGCCTTTGAGGTTAGGTTATGCAGGGCCTCTCATTTAATAAATTATTTTCCTATGATTGTGGTCACATTGAGAAAACTACTTTGCATTCATCTGCAATTATTAATCGGCTTTTATACTTTCTTGTAATTCTCCTTCAATCCATATTTTGCTGTGTGACTGAAATATAAGTATGAAAGATTTGCATTCTCCTAATGAATTTTACACATAACATTACTGCATGTTTTAAAATTGTTTTATTCCACTTTAGTTTTAGTTCTTTCTTAAACGTTAAGATTATAACTCTAGATTTCTAATAACTCGTTCCTGGATGGTATGTGTTTACTTCTTTTTAAGTGTTCAAGTTAACATTTTAATGCCTTTGTTTCAGATATATGTCTTGAAAAAAGCAATCATTTTAGAGTCTATTTCAGTCAGCAATAAGAACATCGGTTATTTTTGGCTTTTGTTTTGTGTTTGGTAAGTTATGTCCATTTACATTTTTTACATTTATTTGTTTGCCTATTTTGTGTGTCTGGCAAGGCCATACATGATCTACAGTGTACTTGTAGAGGTCAGAGGACAACTTGCAGGAGTCATTTCTCTGCTTCCACAATGTGAGTCCTGGGGATCCAACTGAAGTCATCAGAAGCAGTACTCGGGCTTCTATTACACTTTAATACGATCTACATATAAGGTGAGTCACACAGTATACCTTTTTGTCCAACATATTTACTTGTAAACTTTCATTGCAATGAGTCATTGAACTTGTTCATGGCCTCTAGTTTCTGGTACACTATCATCATGGGACCCTCAACAAAACTCCTCTAGGATATCCTGCAGTCACCCCACGTAACAGAGATTCTGCAGGTATTGTTCCCCAGGACCAGTCAATTCCAGCATTCCAGTAGGCCTTAGATGGTGTAGATGTTAGGATGGGCCAAGCCAAGAACCCCAATATGGACCTGGGTGGTAGCTGAGCTGATCAGCTGCCTGCCTAAGGATAGGGCCGAAGCCAGCTCACCTATGCCCATGGCACCAGGCCCAGTTTTCCAATGCCCATGGTGAGGTGTGGGACTAGCTCTCCTGTGAAAGTCAGGGCCAGCTCTTGACACAATATCCACCAAAGGGCAGAACCAGCTCACTCTGGCCCTTGGATATCATCATTCATGGCTCTTAAGGCCCCCTGTAGTAACATGGGCCACAAACATCAGCACATACCCTAGCTCTGGTAGGACCATAGACCCAACATGATCCTGGCAGCAACTCGTCCTTGATGTCACCATTTCCCGGGTGGTTTCACAGACCACACAGATCAGGATGGCACCAGCTGCAGCAAAGCCTTTGGACACCAACGTGGCCTCAGGTGGTGGCCCACACCTCAGGCATCCGCATGGCCTTCATTGGTAACAGGAGTCAGGAAGACAAAGACCCTGGCTACTGCTGGGTCACAGATATGGCCCTGGTCAGCAGCTCAGGCATGGACAACACCATGGCCCAGGTTGGCAGCTCGGGTCTCTCAGATCATTGTCACTCCAATGGCAACACAGCGCTCAGATCCCAACAAGGCCAGAGGACACAGCCCAGACTCCAGGCTCCTGTGTGCCCTTTGGTGGCAGCGTGGACCATGGATGTTAACATAGACCCAAGCTGCAATAAGAACAGAGACCCAGAAATGACCTTTGGTAGCAACCTCGGTCCTGATGACCCCATGACCATGAATGACAAGAAGACCACCCCCTCAGCCTGTTCCTTACCACCTTCTATTCCCCCTCTTTTCACAGCACATGAACCATCCCGCTACTCTTTCTCTCCTGTTTCTCCACCACACATTTTGCTCATTGTAATGGAAGCCTTGTAGCTCTGGGCAGGCCTCTGGTTGTCTACCAGCCAGACCAGGCTTTGAGGACTCTGGCTGGACTGTGATTGGCTAGTACCTTCTGGACCTGGATGCCATAAGGCAGAGTGGAGATGTCTTTCTGCCAGACAATGAGTACAATTAAAAACATATATGTGTAGTGTAAACATTTCAGCTCAAATGTAAAGGGATCCTGGCCGTCCAGATGCAAGGAATACCACAAAGTCAGTATAAGCTTAGCAGCTTACAGATCTGCTTCAGGGAAAGCTTTCCTCAAAGTAACAGCTCTGCTCCATCAGGAAAGTTGTTACAGCTTTGGTCAAATGACAATTAACATATCAAGAAACTGAGAAATATTTTTCCAAGTTATTGTCCTATTTCCCATGGCTACCAGCAGTCAGTATGATAGTTTCATCCCCCACAACCTTGCCAGGTCTTCATATTATTATTTCTGAATATTTTGTGGGGGTGTCAAGAGTCCCCTAGAATCACCTGTCTCTCTTCCCTAAGTGTTAAGGATGTTGATGCTGTATGTTCCGCTTAGTGGAGCATCTACTCACCCTTCTGGACAACTTTTATTTCATGAATTGTGTATTTTCTTAGTGACTCTTTTTTAGGCTTTCTGTATTCTGGAAACAATAAGGCTGTCATCTAATACACAATTTCCTACATTCATTTTTTCCCAGGCAGGGAAAATATCTTTTATATCACAGTGTACATTTTTCACTTTATGGAAGTCCTAACAGTCCAGTTCTTCTTTTCATAAAAGGGGTTTGTTATATCTATGAATTTTGTCTATAATTCTTTCAATTGCTTTCTGTTACAAGATTCATGCTTAGGTTGTATTTTGGATTAATTACCTTTTAGATTTGCTTTCACTATTTACTGGGTATCTGCCTATATGTTTGTGTGTGCCGTATGCACATTTGAATGCAGATGCTTGCTGAGACCAGAAAAGACTGTCAGCTCCCCTGGATCTGGAGTTATAGGTATCTCTGGGCCACCATATGGGGACTGTAAGCTGAAGTCAGGTCCTCTGCAATAGCCAAAGGCACTCTTAACCTCGGAGATGTCTCTCTAGTCCTATGTAGATCATTTGTTAATTTTGGTTGACTTTTGTATCCGGTGATAAACAACTTGTCTATATTTATATTTGTCCATGAGGATGCCCACTTGTCCCATAATAAGACAGAAAAACAGGGCATTGAAGGGGATATGAGAGGGGAATACACAGCCCCTCACCCTGTGATCATTTTTTTTTTTTTTTTTTTGGATTTTCGAGACAGGGTTTCTTCATAGCTTTTTAGTTCCTGTTCTGGAACTAGCTCTTGTAGACCAGGCTGGCTTCGAACTCACAGAGATCTGCCAGCCTCTGCCTGCCAAGTGTTGGGATTAAAGGCGTGAGCCAACACCACCCGGCCCTGTGATCATTTTTACATTTTTCTAACTGACATTCAAGAAGCCTCCACCCAACTGATAGAGTCGAAATTACCCACAGATATAATGCAAGTAGTACTAAAGACATCCCAAATAGTGTTTAAAAATTACAGCAAATAAACTAGGGTCCGAGGATAGGGTTCATTCTTTAATATCACTGGATGTCTTCCAGAGGATCCAGGGCTGATACCCAGCACCTACCTGATGATTCACAACTGTCTGTACTCCAGTTCTGAGAGATCTCAAACTCTGGTGTCCTCTGTGAGCAATAGGTATTCACTCAGATGGTGCACAGACTTCCTTGTGAAAAACATTAAAAAAATTAATTAATTATGCTTACTTAGGACCAGAATGTTTGCAGAATCACATATTCACCTTACAATTTAATTTACTAAAATTTTTTTAAAAGGGATAAGAACATTTAAAAGCATTTTTATTTTTTACTTTTAATAACCTATTGTATATTTTCTTCAAGTGGAAAAACAGAACCATTTCAAAGTCTCAAAGCATGTAATTTTCAAACAATGTAATAATGTAACAATGTAACTCTGAGAACCATAAAAATCTTCACATTTCTCACTCTCCTGCCCTCCTCACACACCCTAATCTCAAGTCTCTCTAGTCCTCACTCAGGCCTTCATTCCTGAGCCATCCCTATACTATGTGAGCTTCTTCCATAGCATGAATAAGCTCACAAGCTTTGCTTCATTCTGGCTTTTCCTGAAATTCTTTTCTGCATCCTAATCATAGATCCAGCTTTACCAAGGTCATGGTCATCAAAGGAACAGGGTTATCCTTAGGCAGCTGATCACGATGCTGGGCTGTACCTCCTATAACCACCAACAGTCCCAGAAAAACTCGGTGACCAGCATATGCCTGCTTCACTGAAGTGTCTTTGTGTCTTTGCTAAAGGTGTCCCCTCACACGTGTGTGACTCTTCTGTCCCCTTCATATTCTTTTCTGTCTTCTTGTAATTACCAATGAGGCACACTGTCTTCATTTCTCTATGTTTATAAGGAGTTTGGGAGTCAGGTGTTCATCCTCCAAGTTTGTTCCTTTTCAAGGTTGTCAATGTCAGGTCTCTTCTATGAGAAGTACAACAAGACTGTAGAGAGTACACACAGAAGGTTGACAAGAAGCTGACATGAGCCCTTGTTTCCAGTATGTGAGTCATCAGTGTCACCAGTGTGTGAGTGTGTGTGTGTGTGTGTGTGTGTGTGTGTGTGTGTGTGTGTGTGTCTGTATAAGAAGGGTCTGTGAGATCAACAAAGAAGAGGAAGATGTCACTGCACATCTTTGACTTGACTGGATGCAGACAGACTACTCCATCCCTATATTCAGTACAGTAGAGTGCATGAGCGTTCTCATCTGCCTTCCTCCCCTCTCCATGAGATTTCTCTCCTCCTTCTCTGCCTTCTAGTAGAACAGGGGAGAAAACAGTGAACTTTCCATGCAGAACCAACTCCTGGAGAAGAACCAAGTGTGGTGTGGTCTGGTCAGCCTGTTACCTGAGCAAGAGTGACAAGATCATGTGGGACTCACCAGGTCAGTCATTTCCTTTTCTCTTCCCATCCGTGTGACCAGCAGCTGGTCTGTGATGCCTTGTAGGAACACATCCTGTTGAGCAGGTAGCAGCAAGAGCAGCACACTGTAGAACAATGACTTTCATAGACTCCCCAGATGACAGAAGTCTGCATGGGTTCCTTTAAATGACCAGGACTGAAATGGACGCCATCCCCATCAGACCATTTCCCCGAAAGGGCCATGCATTACTGCATCACATTTGCAGGGAGTGCTTATTAAAATGGTAGATATCTGTGTCCACGACAGACACTAAATCATGCTTATTAAAATGTTAGATATCTGGGTCCACAACAGACACTGAATCAATACCTGAGAAGTGGGGTGTGGCATAGCCACTTCTTTCTGATGGCTGTCCAGACTGAGAAGCTTCTGTAAAGCAAAGGACACTGTCGCTAAGACACAAAGGCAACCCACTAACTGGGAGAAGATCTTCACCAACCCCGCAACTGACAAAGGTCTGATCTCCAAAATATATAAAGATCTCAAGAAACTAGACCGTAAAAGGCTAACCAACCCAATTATAAAATGGGGCATTGAGCTGAACAGAGAATTCTCAACAGAAGAACTTCAAATGGCCAAAAGACACTTAAGGTCATGCTCAACTTCCTTAGTGATCAGGGAAATGCAAATCAAGACAACTTTAAGATACCATCTTACACCTGTCAGAATGGCTAAAATAAAAAACACCAATGATAGCCTTTGTTGGAGAGGTTGTGGAGAAAGGGGTACACTCATCCATTGCTGGTGGGAATGCAAACTTGTGCAACCACTATGGAAGTCAGTGTTTCGGTTTCTCAGGAAATTCGGGATCAACTTACCCCTGGACCCAGCAATACCACTCTTGGGAATATACCCAAGAGAGGCCTTATCATACAACAAAAGTATATGCTCTATGATGTTCATAGCAGCATTGTTTGTGATAGCCAGAACCTGGAAACAACCTAGATGCCCTTCAATGGAAGAATGGATGAAGAAAGTATGGAATATATACATATTAGAGTACTACTCAGCAGTAAGAACCAAGGACTTCTTGAATTTTGCATACAAATGGATGGAAATAGAAAACACTATCCTGAGTGGGGTAAGCCAGACCCAAAAAGAGGAACATGGGATGTACTCACTCATATTTGGTTTCTAGCCTTAAACCAAGGACATTGAGCCTATAATGGGTGATACTAGAGAAGCTAAATAAGGAGAACCCAAAGAAAAACATATAGGCATCCTCCTGAATATTAACCTTCAGCAGGCGATGAAAGGAGACAGAGACAGAGACCCACATTGGAGCACCGGACATAAATCTCAAGGTCCAAATCAGGAGCAGAAGGAGAGAGAGCACGAGCAAGGAACTCAGGACCGCAAGGGGTGCACCCATACACTGAGACAAAGGGGATGTTCTACTGAGAACTCACCAAGGCCAGCTGGCCTGGGTCTGGAAAAGCCTGGGATAAAACCGGACTCTCTGAACATAGCAGACAATGAGGACTACTGAGAACTCAAGAACAATGGCAATGGGTTTCTGATCCTACTGCACATGCTGACTTTGTGGGAGCCTAGGCAGTTTGGATGCTCAACTTACTAGACCTGGATGGAGGTGGGGTTCCTTGGACTTCCCACAGGACAGGGAACCCTGATTGCTTTTCGGGCTGAGGGGGGGACTTAATTGGGGGAGGGGGAGGGATATGGGAGGCGGTGGCGGGGAAGAGACAGAAATCTTTAATAAATAAATAAATTAAAAAATTAAAAAAAAGTATTGCTAGTGGGTTTTACATTCTGTCTTTCAGGATATGGATCACAGACTGCTTAATTCCATACAATGTCCTCTTGTTAATCCCATAAATACCAGTGTGTTACATGGCATAGCAAATAGATAAATCAATTCCTTCATGTATGTTTATCCAGATATTCACATAGTGGCCTCTTTTGTGAGCACCGGATTCCTGCACTGAGAAGACTAGCAGAGTTAGATGGCTAAATTGTCAGTAAGTAGAGGATAGCAGTAATTGCAGCAACTCCATATGTTATTTGTGCTTTAAAGAACTCAAGGTGGACATAAAATGGCTGTGATGGGGATTGTTGTAGGTGGGGTTTCCCCCAAAGGTCGGTTTCATCAGGTAGCATTTGACTCGAGTCCTGATTGACAAGAAGAAGAAGGGATATACAAGCCTTGTTGGTGGGCTTGTCCACATGGACCTCATTTGGTCTACGAGCAGAGGACAAGCCTAGAGGCTGGCGGACAGTGTAGTCATGTCGGTGTGAGGTGGAAAGGGTAGATGACTCTCATAGTCTTTCAGTTGTATTATGACTATGAAAGGAAGATTTGGAGAGAGTCACAATTTCACTCTTGTTGTTGTTATGTTATTGTGTGTAGAATGAACTGAGTAGAAACTGTTGCGAGAGTGGGTTGGAACAGCCATTATGGTCAACGGGAGCCATGCAGCTGCAGTGTGTAGAGAGTAGAACATTTGGCCATGGCTGCTGTTGGCAGGGCAGTGACTGTGCATGGGGCTTATGGGGAAGAGGCGGGGCAAAAATTCCTGGGCTTTTCTGGCTCCATGTCCACATAGTGGTGCTGTTTTCTGATATCAGTTGTTTCTTGTGTTTTTGAGACATTCCCTGGATGGTTTGGAAACCCAATGACCCTTATCGTGAAACTTGGTGATTTAATGACACACATCAGTTGATGAAGAAGCTTCTCTCATCTCTGCAGCAATACTTGCTCACCTTAGTGACACCTGGAAGTGTCATACAATGTTCACCTCCCAGAGGAGTAGTAGTAATGGCACTAGTGGTAAAGGTAGTAGTAGTGATAGTGGTGGTGGTATTGGTGGTGGTGGTGATGGTGGTGGTGATGGTGGTGATGGTGGTGGTGGTGGTGGTGATGGTGGTGGTGGTGGTGGTGGTGATGGTGGTGATGATGGTGGTGGTGGTGATGGTGGTGATGGTGGTGGTGATGGTGGTGGTGGTGGTGATGGTGGTGGTGGTGATGGTGGTGGTGGTGGTGGTGGTGGTGGTGGTGGTGATGGTGTTGATGATTGTGGTGGTGGTGGTGATGGTGGTGATGGTGGTGATGATGGTGGTGGTGGTGGTGGTGGTGGTGATGGTGGTGGTAATGGTGGTGGTGGTGGTAATGGTGGTAGTGTTAGTGGTGGTGGTAGTGGTGATTTTGGTGGTGGTGTTAGTGGTGGTGGTGGTGGTGATTTTGGTGGTGGTGTTAGTGGTGGTGGTGGTGATGATGGTGGTGGTGGTTGTGGTGGTAGTGATGGTGGTGGTAATGGTGGTGGTGGTGATGGTGGTGGTGGTAATGGTGGTGTTGGTAATGGTGGTGGTGTTAGTGGTAATGGTGGTGGTGGTGATGGTGGTGGTGGTGGTGGTGGTGTTAGTGGTGGTGATGGTGTTAGTTGTGGTGGTGGTGGTGGTAGTGGTGGTGGTGGTGGTGGTGGTTGTAGTTTCACCTCTGGGACCTCTGAACTCGCCAACCATGGGATCATGATGACATTTATAGTACTAGGCAAGTGTTTCCTCCTGTGGAGTGGGCCTTAAATTGAAACATAAAGTTACTTGGTTAACTCTGTGATATTCATGCCACTGTTGACCCATGGGTATATCTTGCCATGTTGGCCATTATTGTAGTTCACAGAGGAATAAGAACATTGACAACTTTCCCCCACTCAATAGCCTGGTAGTATCTTCTGGTAATAGGAAAACTAGGTAATAGGAAGGAAGGTTTCTGGTCAGTGTCAACTTGATTTCTCCATACCCTGTGGCCAACGTGTGTGGTGTCTTAAGCAATAGGAATCAAGAGCAATGACAATAGGAATCAAGATCAAAACAATAACTGCATTGTTTTGGGGGATCACTGGAACAGCCCTGACCAACAGCTGGAGGGGGTGTTCCACACTTGGCACTGGGCTTTTTAATAATCCATGGCTTCTGGGAGGAGTATCATCCCTTTCGTCAGGTAACTCCAATTAAATTCATATATATTATAAAATAGTAGGTTTGGCTACTACTATCACGTCTGGTCTTTAATTCAATCTGTAAGAGAAAATATTTCACATCTCCCTGATAAGTCTGACTTGCTGCACTCAAGTGAAGATCTCCATTTTAACACGGACTTTTTAGTCTTTTCCAAATTCTTCCTGATGCGATAGGTCACTGTGCACTTTTCTGTTGCATTCCTGGCCCCAAATCTGGAATCAGCCATTTTCCCCAGGCATCTTTGAGGGGGCAGTGTTTTTAGTGTACTCAATCTGAGCAATGGAGTTGTTGGTGATAAGTAGTTGATTGGAATCAGTGCATGGAATGAGTACTTCTGCATCTTCGAGAGCATAAATGTCAGCCTCTGTCCTGGTTTCTTCCAGGGCACTCTATAGGAGATCATTTTCTTTTCTTGGGGGGCGCTCAACTATCCAGTGTTTCAAAGCACAAGCATACATATTTTATCAATTCTCCCACTCACAAGAAAGGTGTGCACTCTCTGTTCCCAATGCACCTTTCTGAATTGATGAAAATGCTCTGCATCTGCACTGCCCAGCCCAGGAAGCTCTAGCTGTCTGTGGCTGTTGGCCACTGGAAATCTGAGCAGTGCTGAAGGTGACACTTATAATTATGATTAAATTTTGTTTGTTAAAGCTGACTTTATTTATTTTAAATAGGGTTATATAATTTATTAACCTCCATGTGCCGCATGTAACTGAGGAAAACATTAGGCAGATAACCCTGGCCTCATTTCTTCACCTTGTGTTGTGTATTCACAATATATCCTGGAGATCACTCTATAATTATAATCATGGACTTCATGTTGCCTTCTTAAAAATTATTTTGTTTGTTTTGAGATAGAATCTCAGTATATAAGTCAGGTAAAACTTGAGCTCACTATGTAGCTCAGGATAGCCTC